ACCTCTCTCTCTCTCTCTCTCTCTCTCTCTCTCCCCCTTCCAAAACCCCACACTCTAGGGCTGCCCAGGTATCTAGATGCCTGTCTGGGCGGCAAAATCCACCTTTTTGAACATTGGAGAAGATTAGGAGGAACAAAAGGAGTGAATGAAGTTCATTATTTCATAAGCTGGGTAGAAAAGGATTTACTTTTATATTTAAATCTAAAATTCTTAGTAATTAGAGGAAAAAGGCAACCCTGACCACTCACCAAAGAGCCCCTATTGTTTCTTTATAAATTACACACTCAGGTCCAAGCATACATGTGCACACTCACACTCACACATACACATACACATTTAATATTGTATTTTGCTTAGTATCAAAAGGAGCCTGGCATTGCAGCAGGACATGCTCTCCCAGAAGCATGTTGTCCTTGCAGAACACTTTTCTTTAATGATGTAATGGGGCATGTTTTTGGTTTTCATGTTAAAAGGAGAGATGGTTTCTCCACAGATTCAGCATATGGATCCATACCTTTTGCTATTGCATCTTCCAGTTACTCTATTGTAATCCATAAAATTCAAATTATAACAGGTAAGTAGGATACCACATACAAAAAATTGCTAAATCCTAATTCTTAAACAACTCTAGTGGATATATAAAGCATGATGATAAACTTGTTTAACAACTAGTATTAAAAATCCGAAACTGGAAGGTTTCCTTCTTTAATTCTACACAAAAGGCCATATTTGGGATAATATAGCAATAAAATAAAAACAAAATATTTCTTAGAACATATTCAATGGTATACCTGAAGAATAGATTGTGAGAAGAGAACAGATATTGCAGCCTTAAGCATCTTTACAATATCATTTCCACAAGACTCGCTCGTTGCAGGTTTCCAGATATCACTAAGTGAAACCCTTGGCAAGAAATTTGGCCTAATGACAAGAATTGTTATAAGAAAGAGACTTGTCCAGTTTGTAAGAAATTTCAATCTCAAATATACATAGTATTGCCACAAGAAGGTCAAGTAAGTAAATTAAAAAATCCTAACTCTGAGTTAAGATACCTTAGATTTTCTACTAATAATACTCCAAAAGTAAAATCTTTCCACCAATATTCAAAACTAGAAAACTAAAACTATAGTTAACATGGAACATGCAAAACCTTGACCATTATATTATATTTCACCAATTATCTTGCTCCTAATATAGGAATCACTCATCCATGACATAGAGACCAGGAAGCCTTGGGATGGGGATGAGAAGAGTGAACAAGAGGCAAACTATGTTTCTGAGTATGGTAGTAAACATGATCTAGTTACTCAAACCTTAGATGAGGCTCTGAAATTGTACTTTCACAATCAAGCACAACAGACACAGTTGGCAATGCAGGAAGGAATCCGCTCCAAACGAGCAACTTCCTAAAAAGTATTTCACGAGGTCCAACTGATGACAAAAAGTCTTCATATCGAGAGACAGCTTTTTGTGCAGCAAGCCATATTGGGAGGTCACTATCAGATTGTAATTCAGCTCCTAACGGGTCACCATGGGATGACCTTTCATTTTCTGAAAACAATTCCTTTAGACGAGAGGGCGTCTTTAACCAACTCCGGATTCCCTTAAACAAAACTTGGAATTGTTCCATATCACCAATTCTGCACCATGTCTGACAAAAGGAGAAAAGGAGCATCATTAGCATGAGGCCACAACAGAATCCATATATTGTTATACACCAAGGTCAAAACAAATATGGCAAAAATAGATGAAAACCAATATCACATTTCATGTAAGAAAAACAGCACTGCATATTCTATTTAAGAAATAAAGAGATAAACCCCCATCTATGCATTTGTAACCCCCAATAAACCGTTGGGTCCACAGAAAGCCCGTGGATCCCTCAATAGCTTAAACTTGGCAGTGAAACCCCCTCCTATCTTTTCTTCCATCCAAATTCCCATCCTAACAGTTTTCTTTTAAAAAATCATCCATTCTACCCATCATGAAGAAACCCACAGTGGTGAACTTCCCTCTCTTTGCAAACTAGGTTTCTCTCTCTCTGACCCCGCCCCCCCCCCCCCAAAACAAAAATGTCAAAGAAGCACAAGAGTTTCATGTTAAGAAGCCAATCTCTCATAATGTACAAAAGCGGTTGATCCCAGGTCCAAGCTTGAGATGGAGATTTTGCATCATCAAATTGTCAGAGACTCCAACTTCCATTTGTTGGGCTTATATCCTCCAATCCAATGTCAGCATTAAAATCAAAGGTATCCGGCTTTTGAATATCCAAGAAATTGATCTTTGTTTATTTAAAAATCCCTTTTCAATAAAATAAAATATCCAAAGAGGTCCAACAATTCATTTTAATTATCTAAAATATAATTAAACATATTTAAGATGATTTGATGGTAATTGGATGAAAAGAGTTAGGAATATCACAAATATACTGAAGACTCCATCCTCTTTAGAAACTGCATCTGTCATCTTCTCAAATTGACCCAATAGTTTCCATGACCCACAGCGCTTCGCAAGGGCTCATGCTTGGATAATCAAAGTCAGTCAATAAATAAAGTAGACACGTTTCTAGCCCATGGATCACAGGTACCTCCCTAAAGACAAGTCCAAATACGATACCTCATAGGTCCTTCCAACACAGTTCAGTGTTGCAGAGAGACATCTCTTCAGCATATGTACATGACACACACCCTCACTCAGAGGATTGTTTCCCGAATGGCTATCTAGTGTACGTGTCGTATGATGGTAATGATGAAGATTTAGCATTTGTCCTCTGCGGCCTACCATCGAATGCAAGGGTCACACTTAGTCCCCTCACCAACCACCCTGGGCCCATCTCCAACCTCATCAAGGGATAACCCCACATTGAAACCCTTATCGGTTATGCACAAATGCCCAGGGCTATGGGTTTTAGACATTAACCTGAGCCATAGCCCATCAAAGCTCAGGTGAGTCACGGCACTAATAATGCCTCACAATCCACTCTAGATCATACTCCCACTGGAGCTATGATATCACTATAAAAATTATTTCAGTACATGCTCTCGTAAGGCCTTTAAATGGCCACATAACCCCAACATTTCTAACCGTACAAGGTATTAGAGATTTTACTCACCTTTTTAGAAGTTTGATCTCTTCATCTCGAGCATCAACCAGGTGATTTCATGTGCAATACCTTGTTAAGCGCCATAAGTTGAAGTTGCAGTCTTAGGGCAACATCAATCTGCTCTAATACAAATTGATGCATCCCATAATGATTTTCTATTTCTTTATGAAGCACAATCAGTTCAGATATGCATGAATGATGAAAAACATGGAAGTTAGAGAGGGAAGATCAAGTAGAAACATGTGAAAGAGGGCTGGAATCCACCCTAGAGATCACACCCCCCCAAAGGAAAAGGGAGAGCGGGAATGGTGGATTGTCCCTCCGTCCAGCTGTATCTCATTCAAAGTCAAGCAAAAGTTGGCCAGATCTGCCTTATATAAGATTTTTTTCCCTCCCAGAACCCTAATGCAAGGTGCAATACCAGCCCTTAGATAAAAGGTCGAAGTACTAAAATGTACCTACAACTTAAGTGACCTATAAAACAACCAAACCAATTTTACTTATTATAATAACCCCTTCTACTAGCTCCCTTTACTAAGATATATCACATTTGCAACTTATTTGAGGCCGCTTTCTTCCTCTTGTATTGTTTCTCTCTCTTTTCTCTAAGTACTCATTAGTTACTGCTACAACATCACCTTCAATGGAGTGAGAAAGAGAGAGAGAGAAATCTAGTTTGCAGAGGAGAGAGAGCGAGGTAAGATTCACCCCGAGGAAGAGAGAGGGGAATAGAGAGGGGGGGAGAGAGGTGGAATGTATTGGAATTATGTCCTTTCAAGGCCTTAAATTCTAATATTTTCAATGGATCTTGATTTCAGTGGGAGTAAAAGAGCGACATGACTCTAGGATCTTGGCACAGTGGGACCAAGAGTTATGGAACTCCAATTAACTTATGAGAAGGATTTATATGCATGGGAGGTACCGCGAGGGTTACCTCTTAAGTCAGGATTGATCGTAATGTCAGTCACTCATAACTACGTGATGGACCATGGTGGTATGATTTTCGTGCTTATATGAGCTCGATGACAAAATAGCGTTGTATGAGAAGGTGCGGGCTAATAAAGGACATTGGCTTAAATCCCTAACTCTTAGAACCTTCTCGTAGGATGTGCGTCTACTGTCACAATGTATGAGAAGCCGCTCTTCCAGAGATCCACTAGATAGAGGTATGCACATGTGCCAATAGAGCAACCCCCACACCATGTGTGCATGTCCTCTAAGGTGTGCACTTGAAATCCACTTATACTTGGAGATTTAGGGTCACACATTAGTTTGACTTTGATAGGCTGAGATCATGAGCCCCTGATTATACACTATGGATCATGAGTCTGTTGGGTCAAACTAAGATGGTGGCTTTGGATTCCGGATCTAGCCGAGTGGAGTCTTCCAATTCATAATTCTACTCCAAGGATTCTAATTTCCCTTGTAAATGTTTTTAAACAATGCTAAAATGATTTATTTTGATGGAAAATCATTAGAATATTTTTCAAGGATTTTTGAGAATATTTTTGGATTTTTTGGGCAAGAAAATCCTTCTTAGAATTGTTTCGGGCAAATGACAAAGAAGGACAGTACCCCGAGACCCACATGGGACACCTAAATGGCCAATGGATGTCCATGTGGTGGCTTAGGGGGCCCCACATCACCCCACATGGAGGATGACGTGGGGGTGACATCAACCCCCCTCAAGGGACCCCCATTTCATTATGCAGTTTTTTGTTTTATGCTATGGGATTGTTTTATGTAATTTTGTGACATATTGAGATCTAAAAAAAAATCTTTTTAGCACATGCTTAAAGCAAGGGGTTTGTGCACATGTTTGGTGAATTAAAGGAGGATATAGGCGTTTAAATCCATACCACACATCTTTATGGCATGATGGTGGATGGTGGGCTAGGATCAAGCCTCTCTTGTAGCTTTTGGTAGATAATATGGAGGGCCAAAATTTATTAATCTAAAAGCATCTCTACACTTAAGGGTTAGAAAATTATAAATACCCCCTTGAGCCTTCATTTCACACATGAGTTCACTTCATCCTTTCTCTCTCCAAAAGTGGTACGCCATAGTCTCTTTGTCTCCCATTGTGTGGCACGCCCAAGCTAAGTCTCCTCCTCCTTTCTCTCTCTAAGTGTGGTCTTCAAAGTTAGGATGAGAGAAATCTCTATTGAAGCTTCATTATTACTCCATCAATGGTGATACAAAGCTCAAATTTAAGCCATGGATGATCTAGTCTTAAATCCTTCAACAATTGAGTACAATCTTTTCATTGATCCATTTGGTTTCTCCTTTTTATAAATTCTCAATTACATAAACATCCCTTCATCCTTTGATAATTAGATCTTTGATCCCTTGAATCATCTTTGATCTCCCTTGATCTATATAGTTGAAAGCATCTTCCATACATATTTTGACATAGTTTTCATGAGCTTTCTTCCTTGAATTTTGGAGTAATTTAGGCTGATATTTCTCTGAGATTTTCATGATCATATCGATCACTTAGATCTTCGTTTTAATCCCTTGAATTGTTGGTTTCATAAGAGGAGACTATGCAGAAATTTTGGGAACCGAATTGTGAACTCAATTGAACTGCTTTTGTGATTTAAGAGCCCAGTTTTCTCCCATGATTTCCCACTTGATTTGATCTTTAAATATCTACAAATCATTCCATGTTTTAAGTGTGTATCTGTAGATGCGTGGCTTCCCACTCGATTGATGATGTATTGGCCCAATTTTGAGGTATGCCCTCGCATGTCACCCAATGACACAGCTAAAACCAAATGCCATAAACCTGGCACCCGAGAGCTCTGATTGGCTTCTCATGGTCATGATGCATTGCACACTTGAGCATATATATGTTGAAGTAATGGAGATCATATTGTGATGAGTTTTATGACTTCATTGATGTATAATTTTTCCTTGTAAGTTTGAGTGGTGCAAAATTTCCAAATGCACAATATACATGTATAGGTTGATAATTTCCTTTTGTAGCTTGTATTGTTCATGTGTAAGGGACTCTAATTGAGTTGTATCCTCTCATTTGAGTGTATTTTGAAGTCAATAGCTCACTGTTGTTATAATGACATTGCTGTAATTTGATTTTGCAATTTGTAATTTCAAGTGTATTGGAAAATTTAATGTATTCGCTTTTATTTTGTCTACATTGTAGTCCAAGTCAAGAGAATTGGTTTTTACACACTCACAAGTGGTATCCGAGCCAAAATTCTAAGAGAGGTCCCTTTGAGTCATTTTGTGAGTCCTAGATTGTATTAGAACGTTGCTCAAGTGTTTGCCAATGGCCTCCATGTCGATAGTTACTGAATTGCTTAAAGAAGAGAAGTTCAATGGGTCGAATTACGTCAAATGGAGGAGGAAAGTGGGCTATGTACTCCATGAGGAGGGTCTCATCCCTATGATCACTTAAGACCCTCCAAATGTGCCAAAATCTAATGCCACTCAAGCCAGATGTGATGCCTATGAGACATGGAGCACCAAAAATCAAAGTGCTAGAAATGTGTTCTTAGCCACTATGTCCTACACTTAGGAAAGAG